TGCACTTACTGGATAACAGCTGCCCGCAGAGCTGGGCCAGCAGCCAGATCATGCCCTCCTTCTTTCTAAATTAATTTAATTTGGAGATCATTTACTCTTGGGACCAGTTGCACAAGTGTTTCCAAAATATAAAGGGCAGCCACCCACCCACTCACCCATCCAACAATCCATGGGATGGAGCAGTCCCCCTCATGAGGTCTTGTAGCTTCTTGCTATTCTTTTTGTCACACATTCACACTAAGGAATAGTTTCTTCTGTGTGCCTAAAAAAAGGAGAAATACTGCATTGCCAAAAAATAAAAATAAAAGTACAGGCTTTACAGAAAACTCATACTCTCCCACTTATCCATAGCAAATAAGGCAAAGTGTGAAGAGGAAATGTTTTTTTCTCTTTTGAGTCTATACATTTAAGTGTAAATTTTGAAAGGATTTGTTAATTTAAGTAGAATGCAAGACATCATGACAACTGAACAGGAAATATGCTGGCTGCTAACAGTTGATGGGCCACAACAAGCCACTCCCTCTCTCATTTTAGAAACTAAAGCCGTTCTATTTGAGCCATTCCCTTTAAAATATGATCACTGCCTCCCCACCCTGGTCCCATCCCGCACCAATTTGTCCTGGAGAATTAAAAATCCAACGGGAAATTAATACTCCAGCTCAAATATCAATAAAATAATACATGTGTACACGTGGCTGCACAAAATATTTTGTCATGGAAGTCAGCTTCCAAAAACTGAGAGGTAACTAGAAACTCTCAATCCCCCCACATCTCATTCTTTTTAAAACTGAAAACCCAGTTCCTTGGTCATGCTTTTTTTTTTGTCTTGATCCGCTCACATCCTTAAAAATGTGCTTATTAAAAAAATCCCAATATATATTTTGATCAATAAATTATCTGTGTCAGAAGGTTTGGTGACATTTTCAAGAACACCACCAAAGATTCACCTTGCCTAGCACCCTAGCTCTTAGCGGCTACTGCCCAGTGATCCCAGGGAATCTTATAAGCAGGGTTTGAAGGTGACAAAATTTCCCTGTTTTGATTTCTCATGCTAATTACTCAAAAGGGGAAACTTTCTATACATAGATGCCCTGTTCTTAAATAGGACGCTGAATAGCTCTTGTCTGGCCCAACTGTCATTCATGATTTTATCACCTTCTTTCATGTGCCTCAGTGACCGAATGCCAAGGAAGGACACAATGTTCTTGTGTCTTCAAGAATTGCATAAGGCGGGGATTCATTTCCCTAAATTTCTTCTTAAATGTACCGAACTTGTAGTCAGTCCCCTGTGCATTTGGCGTCTGCTGTCACAATATATATGGTAGGAGGCAATTCAATAATTGGTAATAAATATGTACTACCAAAGAGACAGAGAGTGTGTGTTAAGTCAAAATCCTTGAATGTCTGTAGGAAAGAATTTAACAAACATAAAATTCTGAGGAGGCTCTGCAGCTCATTGATAACTCTGAATAGTTTATGCTCTTTGCTTTTTCTTTTAAATGTTACTGGCCAAGCAACTTTAACATCACTTTGGGGATGTAGAAACATAGTTGTTACCACCTTTCTCCTAGACTGGCCTGGCCTGAGTTCCCCTCCCTGCCTAGGGAAGCCATGACCTNAAGGACGTGAAATCCACACATCTTAAAGTTGCCAACTTTAAAGCACAATGGGTATGTTCACAAACCACACCAAGCCAGAGCCAAGCAAATCACATTGTGGTTTAATGTAAGGTGTGAAGCCCTCTTTAGTATGTGAAGTAGCTCTATGGTGCTCTAAATGCACTACAATGTGGCTTAATATATTTTGTTCTTCAGATGTAGCTTATGAATATTATCTGACTGCTTTCATGATGAGATTGCTGTACTCTAACCTAGACAATCTCCAAGAGCATGAAGGTGCTTTCAGAAAATGGCAGGGTGTCAAAATATCAAGGCTTAATGGAATGGGAGTTTGGATCCTTACTCTGCCTGGCTCATCTGTTTCTGCTTGCTTTCTTGCATTGGGGGAATGGAATGGAGCTTCCCTCCACTGAGTGGGTCTGAGTGGTAATTGAAAGCAACAATAGAGCATAGGGCCCTTCTCTTTGCAGGAACGAAATGCTGAGAATGCCATTGAGGCCCTAAAGGAGTATGAACCTGAAATGGGCAAGGTCTATCGATCTGACAGGAAGGCGGTACAGAGAATAAAGGCCAAAGACATAGTCCCTGGTGACATTGCAGAGGTGGCAGGTAAGTGCAGGTGGTGGTGGGTGGAGGGGGAGGGGAAAGCATTAAAGGTCATGGGGATTCCCCAGGGCAAAGAAGTCTAAACATAGAGTGAGTACCAGAGTCAGTTTGGATACCACAAGTTCTCTTCCATAATCTTTAAATCCCTAAGTAGCTCAAGCTCCCAACTTAAGCTATTAGAAATGAGGCGATTGAAGATGACAGATATCACTAGCAGTGACATTCAAAATGTTTAGATATTTCTGGAGCGACTGCTCTAGAAAACAGTATTCTCCTCTCACCCTGATGCCTACTCCTTGACAGAGTAGGGTCAAGGTCAATTAAGTCGAAAGGTTAGAGGACATATAATCTCCAAAATATTCTCCAGAAAAGGATAGTATGATTCTCTAGTAACAATCATCAACAGTAATACTGTGCTCTAAAGAGCAGTTGCCAAGATTTCTGTCTCTGATCGCCACCTGAGGATTTAAAAATGCTTCCGAGTTTGTTAAACCGAAGCAATTGACATAGCATTTCTGTCTTCTATTAATCGAACAGGTTGCCTCAACTTGAACAGGGTTGGCCGAAAGACTGAATAGTGATAAAGAAGCATTATTTTGTGAAACAATTGCTTTGCAAAGATATTTAGCATTAAGCAGGGATCAATCCATTATTAGATAAGCAGAGGAATTATAGCTGGAATACATAGCAAAGAAGACATTATTCTCTGTGAGCCAAAATAAATAAAGGTCATTTTCACTTGTACCTAACCAGGACACAAAACACCCTGATTATATCTTTTATTTGCTGTTACTTAACAATATAGCCATCATTTTGTCCCCAATGCACAAAGAAGACAGGCGTAAGTAACCCTTAGTTATAATGGCATTGAAGTAGCATTTAACTCTTATTCTAATGCTGTTCAAAATTTGCTTCTAGGTAGGTCAAATCTGTCTGGTTTTGTTATCTATAATGTTTGGAAGGAAATAAGGTGACCACAGTGACTTGAAACAGAGGCAGTTTAGGCAGATTGAGGCTTGGCAGGATTGAGCAGCAATTTAATTTAGCCCTAGGAAAACACCCTCAATGAAGGCAAGAATACTTCTGTTCCAAGAGAAAAGGTTAAATTGAAGTCTAATTCTCTCAGGGAATTTTCAGAATTTATCAAATTAATTGAGTGAATATCAACCAAGAATGAATTAAACTGACCTTGTTTTGAATTTCCAGTAGGTGAAAAAGAAACGTTCTGACAATGTCTATTTCTAAATACTTCGTTAGAAATTGGATTAATGACCACCCACTCTAGGTTTTTTCCCCTTTTGTGACAATATATTGCTGCTAACCTCATTTAAAGCCAGAGTTTTCTCCTCCTGTCTGTTTACACACTTAGAAGTCTGCTTTTGCCAGCCTCTCCTTCCAGTGACATTTGTGCAAGGCTGAGAATCCCAGTCCAGATGTGGCACCTTCTTCTCCATATCTTTCCTGCCACTCCAGGAGATACCCTGTTGGGTCACACTGGGGCAGCCATTTCCCACAAGTCAGGAGAAGAGTGGCTATTTTTGTTTGGGTTAAATAGTGCTTTCCTTCAGCCTTAAATCCACAGGAAGTTCTGGAGATGCTGCTTCAGCAAAATCTGAACAAGACCCCTTCGTTATGGAGCTTGTTTACTTCTTGGGCTTGACCCTGTAATAGAGGCGAGAGGGATGTTTTGGGAACAGACAGTCCCAATGGAGAGAGAGAGCTGGAGGTGGAGCAGTGAAAGCAGAGCCCTGAGGAATCCCCTTCAGCTGCACTTACTGGATAACAGCTGCCCTCAGAGCTGGGCCAGCAGCCAGATCATTCCCTCCTTCTTTTTAAATTAATTTAA